GAAGTTTGCATCAGCACAGATCAGCCCTTTATTATGCATTACTTTTGGCGTGAAGTACATCAGTTCTTGAGCTCTGTCCTTTTATGCATCTGAGCATTACTTCTCTTGCTATATGTAACTTATATCTGTAAAAATTACTCCCTCTTAATGCAGGTGTCAAAGCTTTGATTTCAGCGATTGATAGAAGGTTTGGATTGTTGGAACATCAAGATACTGATGAATGTGAAACTGCACTTGAAGCATTTGGTGAAGTTGGGTCATGTAAGTATATCATTTGCTGCTAGTCTAGGGAAACAACTGCCACATTATTGGCAGAATTTTCATATGAGAAAGCTGTAGCCTTCTTCTTCAGTTTGGTTCCTTTCTCTCATCCTTCTCTAAATTTAGCACAGCTTAATCATCGGTTGGAACTTGTTATTTTCTTGTTTAGTCGTCCGACATGCATTTTTCAGGGTATTTAGCTGTAAACACCATCTTATGTTAACATCATCAATATTTACAGTTCTTTTAGGGGAAAAGTGCCTTGTTATTTGTTGCTACAATCTTGAATGTTTGACCGTTTATATTACTGCATCTCTAGAAACCATTAAATAACAGGTATTGAGTCTCAATTTTCTTTTTTGCCTCTTGAGATAGTTAATAACCTGAGTGTTACAAGCTCAAATAGCTAATTTTTTCTTACATATGAAAAGGCCAACTTGCCTTCCCGTCACTGTAGATGTGAATGATTTGAGGGTTTCAGACTATAACTTGGCTTCTTTTCATTCCATTGAGATTTCAGTTTTAAGACTACAAATTTTATGTTGATGTTTCTGATTCTTTTAGCAATAAAAGGAGCTACCTTGATACTGTCAATGTCACCACCTGCTGCAAGACATGTTATTAATGCTGCTTTTGATCGCCAACGACATGGTAGACAGTTGGTGAGCACTTTGGATTCTTTCCTTTGTTTTTTCTCTTAAGAAGTTGTTTTACTATTATTATTTTTTAATTGTTGTTTAAAAAAGAAGTGTAAGGAAAAAAGTTATAGAGATAGAGAGGAGAAGGAATCTTTGAGCAAGAAGAACAAAAAGGAAAGTGGAAAACAGCAACAGAAAACGGAAAGGCTTCAGAATTGTCTCTCAATTCTTTTGCAAGCTAGACAATGGCAGATTTCTAAAATTCCAGTGCCTTAGCCCAAGAGAAGCTGAAAACACTGTCATACCTCTAATAAGAGCGGGGTAAGGGGCTTGGTCATTAAAAACTGTGGCAGTCCACTTCAACTATAAACCAAACACTCAGCGAAAAGAACTCTACACCTTAAAGCTTTAAGCTCCTTTGACCTTTCTTTTAACTCAACCTGTCGAGTGGATGGAAAAGAAAGCTTCCAAGTTAGAGTGAAAACTTCACATATCCAAAAGACTGCAAAGCTTCAGGCTATAACCTCCCAGCCACGTAAGAACAAATGATTATTCACCTTCAAACTCCAGAAACACATCACACAAATATCAAGAATGAGAGTGCAATCAGGCCTTCACGTCTGCGACAAGTTGTTAGTTCTAATACTATCCAGTACAACAACCGAAATGAAGACTTGAACCTCTGATGGGACCTTAACCTTCCAAAAGAAGCTATTAAGAAACCAAAGCTTGATCATGAATTAGTTGTCATAAAAAAAAAACAAAAGAAACTGCAAGTGAATCTTGAAGCTTTGATGGATTTTTTCCTTCGTTAATCATTTGTTTATTGACCCCTCCCCACCGGCCGCCAAGAAAAAAAAAGAGAAGAAGAAAACTGTATTAGACAGAAATCTTTAGGGTGACTTCTTTTTATGAAGATTTGACTATTCATCTGATGGATCTTGCTTTCTTTTTTCCTTATACAAATGTTATGTTCATAACTTCACATTTTGATTGTAGAGGTTGTTAGACAGCTACCAATTTGGCAGAGCCGTTTATGTTGGTAGCCAGTGTCATTCCATATAAAGGAACTTTTTCTAATGATGGTGCCTTCTGGCCCTTCCTTAGGACAGGTGCACGGGATTTCATGTAGTGGACACTTATTCAAGTTTATGCAAAAGAGAAGCACATAGCAGTTATAAATTATGCTTATGTTTCTTATTTTCTTTGCTGTATGTTTAATTGTTGAGAAGTATTCATATCTAATGTCTGTGGAGAAGTATATATGAATTGAGATTAGAGAGATAACCGGAGTTAGAAAATTATTGAGGAATTGATCAACTTTTAATGTCTCTCACATGATAAGAATTATAACTTTGATGTGGTTCTAGTTATTTCAATCTTCTTCTACGTCTCTCACATTCTTCAGTTTCACTGCATTTTATGGAAGTTTGGACATTATTTTTTTCTTAAGAGTCCAAATTGTTTGTGGTTTTGCATTTATCAATAAAAAGATTTAAAAATCTAACGAGCAAATAAAATTGCATAGCTGTTGAATCCGTAAGCTGAAAAGATTTTTCAATAGAGTTCATGCTTAGGATATTGAAGTGCAATGCAGAGTGTTTACTGATTTATTCATCAATAGTTGTGACTCTGGTATTGAAATTTATCGTTGTATATACTGCAGGAAACATGTACATTTGCTTATTTCTGATGTGATTTTAAATTCTACTACAGGCTGCCATGCATGCTCTTGCGAACATTGGGGGAGAAAGTCGACCAGAGAATGACATTGTCCTTAATGTTAATGCTGAAGAAAGCCTTCGGCGTTTAGTATATGGAGTTGCATCAAAGAGCACGAAGCTAACACCCTCAGTGAGCTTTTCTCCTCTGTGTCTCTTCTTCACGACAATATTGGAAAAGATTTTATATGTCAAAATGCATCTTCGAGCCAATAATATTACTTTTTCCGGCATATAAATCACTCCTTTACATCAAGTCCAGGTTTCCTGCTTTTCATATGTTTGTAGTTCCTTTTTGTAAATAATGTTAAGTTGTTTGTACAACTGACAGGAGCTTTTTCTATCTGTTCTTCAACAAGCTGCAGAATTTCGTCTGGCGGTGAGAATTAAGAATCTATTATTAGTAATATTATGGTTGCCTAGTCAAATATGATGAAGCATTAATTCCTTCAAGAAAAAGGGAACATTACATTGATGTCCTTGTGTTCATGCCTTGCATGATGAAGTCCAAGCACTTCTTTGACATATGATTAAAACTAATTCTGTTATTGGTCTATAGTGGTCACAGTTGTGAAATACTCAAAAGATGCTCAACTTTGGTGAAATATTTTCAGGCTTACAGAATAATAACAGGGTTGGTTGTTCGGCACTGGTGTCTAACGGAGATCTGCTTGAAACAAGAGATAATAAATATAGTGACTGATGCAACTGCTGAATCCACAAAAATAGGTCTGCTTTCTTGTTCCCATGTTAACATTTAGCATTATGATCCTTGGATGCTAGTGATTTGTCTTGCTTAGCAATGAAGTCACTTTATATGAGAGTATCAATTTAAATTAAAAGCACCCACCTTTAATAAAGAATTGAGAGGTGTCTATTCATGATTTTGGTATAACAGTTCAGCACACAAGTATTATGCCCTTGTGAAGGTGTGTTGGATAAAATTTTTGAAATTTTCCCAAATTTTCTTTTGTGAAAGAATTAATATGATATCCTTCCTATTGGGTGTGAGTGGCAATCCTCTGGGATTTGGCAGAGACTCTGTTGAATTTAAATGGGGAGTAAACAGCTCTGCAAGTGATGAACTTTAGGCAAGGAAGAAAATTGAAGTGGATAAGGAAAAGAAAAAATTCTCTCTTTGATACATCTTGAATTCTTTTGGTGATTTTGAGGGAAAGAAATAGAACAGAATTTGAGGAATGGTGTGTTCTCTACATAAGATTAAGGATAACTAATTACACTATTTCCAATGAGAGACTTGGGGACCCAATATAATTTTCTTCATACACCTAACATATGTGTTCCTTTATTGCCTTGCGATGAACAATGCATTTTCTTTGTTAAAAAAATTATTAGAGAGAGAGAAAGAGTAGGAGGGTAGGATATGCTTTTGCAACAAATTGAAAAGCAAAAAAAGAGGCAAAATTCACAAGTTAGTGGCTCAATCCCTTGCCGATCCCGATCCTTGGAAAGATCTCTCCAGCTTTAACGCAAAGCAAAGCTAAGTACTAATTTGTCCAAAAATGAAAAGGGAGATTGCAATGATCCTTTTCTCGCATTCCTTTCCAGCCACAAGACCCAGAAACCAGCAAAATGACCTTCTATGTAGCAAGTTTTGTTCCTTCGTAGTAAATCCATGTGCAAAAGGGGGTATCAAAGGCTTTCAGGGAAGGGAGACAAACCCAATTACACATCAAAGATGTCAAAAAGCCTAGTCCGAAGCAGTATTTATATCACATTGCCATGAAAGAACAGATGACTGCGATACTCAAAGACTTCTTAAAACACATCACAGAAATATCCAGAAAGAACGCACAATTGGATCTGTATGTATGAAGCAAATCATTAGTCTTTACCCCGTTAAAAACAGGACTCCAAATACATAACTTTTTACTTTAGAGGGAACTTTTACCTTCCGAAAAGCACCAGTCTTGGCCCTGTTCTAATTAGTTGGCTAGTGCCTAAGGTAATTAAAAAGGACTTACAGATATAGGCACCAGAAGATTCTCAGCTCTATCTGAAGTCAGATCTTGGCACAACACTAAAAGCCTCCAGAGATAAAGGCAAAGACATCTGATCAAGAGTTTCTCAATTGGTAAGATACCTGGAAAAAGCACGAATTCCTAAAGTTTGGCTATCTGAATGAGACATAACAGTGGAAATAGGAAACATTATGATCCAAATATACACATTTTTTCAATTGAATAGATCTTTTTGAACCCAACAAGTAAATTCAAGACATCCCCTTCTTTGCTTGTCATTTATATGCTTGGACTCCATAGTTGTCTGATTGGTCTGCAATGATCAAGTTGCAGTTGGATGTTTGGCCCTTTCTAGATGCTTTTGTTTTCCAAGGAGCTTGATCTCAAAACTTTTAAACGGAAAGGATGAAAAACTATGCTTCTAGATAAAGATAATTATCTTGCTGTTGGCGAATCATATAAGGTTCTTAAACAAATCAAATTAAGAACAAACCTAGGGACATCTGTTTGGCAGTTTATTTTTCTCCATGGGAGTTGTTTGAAGATATCCATTCTCAAGCAGTTTGTTCTTTTATTTTGCAGGCTTTAGGTGTCCCTTTTGGGATGCTGTCCCAACAATAGGTTTCCTTTTTTTAAGAAGCATTAAGCTTGCAGTCTGTTTTATTAATTTTCTTTCCCTTGCCACTAGGGCTGAGATTGATTTAAATTTTATTTCTATGAAACTAGAATAGGAATTCAATATAAATGAGAGAAATTCTGAATGAAAATAACGTTTTAATTGCAAGTCAATTTCATATCCATTGTGATTTCTTCCTTGATAGATAGGAATAAGTATGTGACTTCGTGAATCCTTTTAATTATGTTTGCTTGCAACCACCAAATATATAGTTTATTTTCCCAAGAAGAAATCTCACCATACAAGGAACAAAACTTATCTTTAATCTGCTTTGCTTCTTCTGCATTATCTATTTTCTTCTCGTTCTTTCCTTTGTGGATTGAGCTATCGGTATTCCACGAATTAATTTGATTCTTGCTGGATTTCTGTTAGGCTGCGTGTCATTTCTTACCATTTTCTTTTCTTTCTAAATCCTAAATTGATCAGTATATTTTAGGTATGGAATCTAGATATAAATGCTGCAAAGCAATCCACAAGGCTTTCACATCAAGCAAACTCGCTAATGACCCTGCTCTTGCTGGAGTGGCCGAGAAGGTTCGAATCCATAATTTACACGCTTGCAGTTAGTGTATTTTCTTTTCAGTTGATATGCTTGGGAGGAGAACTAGATCTTAAGCTCTTGATTTGGAAACAATTCGAGCGATGAATGATTTTGACTCCGTATTTAGTAACAATCTCCATTTGTAAAACCCTTTAGAATTAATTCATGGTTTTTCCTCCAAAAGTGACCGGACAAGCCTTTTCTTTTGTTTTTTGGTTTGTGTCTGCAGTTGCAGGAAGCTGTCAGAAGTGGTCCATACCTTGCCAAAAAGCATCTCGAATCACAGCCTGCAGTGATGACAGCGGAGAGATTCTAGACTTGGCCATCGTGTATGCTGCAATGTGAATCTCTCTTTTTGTCCTGCCAATGTTGGTCTGAACTGTAAATTATCATAATAGAAGTTCAGAGTACCATAATCTATGTTTCTTTTTAACAATTCTCTCTTTCTTTTCACTAGTTGTTGAAATATATATATATATATATAGCCACAAGCACGCACGCACGCACGATCCAAGAATGGAACCGAAAGACTTTAAGACCTTGAAGGCATGCACTGTTTCAGCTGGACAGACAGGCCTTAGTATGTTAGTCAGCCGAACATGGAAGGTTGAGGGCAGCTCGTATGCAGCAATATGAACATTTTTCTTGAACGACCCTCTTACCA